CCTCTGGCATCCCAAGCCAGCTCTTAACCAACGCGCCACTTGACCGGCCCTCTTTGAATTCTTTATCAGACAAATTACTTATCACTGTTTCCTTAAGGTTTTTCTGGGAATTTTTCTTATTCCTTCCTTTGAGATTTATTCTGTCTTTTCATTTTATTTGACTTTCTATGTATGTTTATATGAATTAGACAAAATAGCTATCTCTCCAAGTCTTGAAAAGGTGGCATTATGTAGAAATGACCTCTGTGTAGGCTATGTGTGCCAGGTGATTTTGGCAAGCCATTGGGAGCTAAGAGGGTGCTTAAAGTGTCTGGGGCACTGGCCTACCAAACCAGAGGGCTCTGGGAGGGGAAGCCAGGTGCATGTAGTAATATGGTGTTGCTACTTGCTTCTTTTGTTTGGGACCAAAATGGGATTACGTGATGTATCCAAGTATGCACTGCAGCAGCTTTGCAGGTACACCAGAGCACCTGGGTAGAGCTCCTGCCCACCCTATAGAGATGCAGGGAAACCTAAACAATGGTGTTCACAGGCACCTCGATCCCCAGAGAATTCCTGTAGTCCCTACAGAGCTCCTGTGGCTCCCCCGCCTTCTCTATACAGTCTCTCTGTAGTTTGTTTACAGAAAGTGGTCTTATGCAGAAGCAGCCTCTTTCTAGGCGTTCTGTGCCAGGTGGCTTTTGGAAGCCAGTTGGAGCCAGGCAGGGCTTATGCAGCCTGAGGTATCAGGTTGCTGGGCTGGAGTGAGTCCCCAAAGGAAAGCCACATACTTGTGGTGAGGCCCTATTGTTCCTGCTTGCTGCCTTTGTCCAGAGGCAAAGGGGTTGTCCTGGCTGGGAATGCTGCGGTGATCTTGCAGGCAGGCCAAAGCACCCAGTTACTGCCCATCCAAAGGAAGTGGAGGGGAGCATAAACAACAGTGCCCACTCACTGTCTCCTCTGGCCCAGGGGTTCCTACATCACCCAGAGGGCTTCTGTAGTTTCTGAACCTGCTCTATTTTGTCTCTTTCTCTTGTGTGTTATTCAGATGCTGTTCTTTCAGCCCTCAGTTGTCTCACAGGAGTAACTGCTCTCTCTATATGCGTATATTTGTGTATGTTCATGGGAGGAGTCCAGTTCAGTGTCCTCCTGCACTGCCTTCTCTATATAGCTACCTTGCACCTCTCGACTGTATTTTTCATTTCCAATCTTTTTTATTTATATTCAAATCTGTCTATTCTTTTTTCTTATCAACTTACCCTACTTTTATGCTTTTGGTCCCTTTTTATTGTTTTAACTCTTTTAAACAAACTTATTTTCTATATTCTTTTAGGTCCTTCTTGTGTCTAAAGTTCCTGGTATTTAATCCTGCCATTTGTTATATCTCTTGCTCATGCTGCATTGATTTCCTGGGGGGTGGGGGGTCTCAGTTCCAACTCTGTTTCTTGTGCAGGCCCCACTGTAGGCACTTTCTGCCCAAGTATAAAAATTTCCTGTCCAAATGTGGGCACTTTCTGTCCAAGCACTAAAATCCAAGCACCTGAGTCACCAGGAATGATAACCTCTCCCAGCACAGCAATTTTTTCTATCTTCATACCTGGTCAGATTGTAATTTTTTTTCTCCTCTAAGAGCATACATATCATGCAAATGACGCTTTATTTTATCAAACATTTCTAGGTGGTAATAGCCTAGGTTTTATAGGTTATTCCTCAATGATGTTGCTACTTTTGTAAATCTGTGAGGGTTCTTTTCTAGTGTTCCTGTCTCCCAAATGACAGGAACAGCGTGGTCTCTTAAACCCTCAGACCCTGTCATTTCTCACATGTGCACTTATCCCTCAGTGAGTAGGACCTTGGAAAAACTGGCCAAGGTATGGTCCAGACCCTGAAGAATGAGAGCCTCTACTCAGGGTATTTAATCACTGCCAAGCTCCAAGGGAAGAACCTGTTGCTTGGAGCTAATAAAGGACAGTGCCCAGGTTGCCTGATGCACTCCAGGGTGTATAGCAAACAGCTGTGACAGAAAAAGCATGGACATTAGAAATGGAGAGCCTAAATCCCAGCCTCCCTTCTCATTATCTGTGTGGCCTCAGCAAAAAAGCCCCTGAATTTCTGTGAGCCTGTTCCAGCATTTATAAAATGGTGATAATAATGCTAATTGCATGGGATTGTGGTGGCAGCTGATGGGCTTTATATTAGTGGTTAAGAGTATAGCCCAAGATTAGCAGGCTTCAATTGAAGCCTTGCTTTCTCTCTTATAATGGCCGTAGGCATACTCTCTCAGGCTCAGTTTTCTAATCTGTCAAATGGATATATTGATGCTGACACCTCAAATGTTGCTGTGAGGAAAATGGAGGATTATATAAATTGCTGAGCATCTCATCTGTGAGAACAAGCACTTTGAGGATGCTAGCTATCATTATTTTGGCATCTTTGGACTTACGCATTTTCTTGGGCTGCCTCTTCAGCTTTTGAGACCTTCCTGTAGCAATAGATCATCTCAATGAGCAGCCACAAGGTGAGGAAGACCAGGAGGATGTACATCATGATTTCTGAGACGACAGAGGTGAAGTCCTCTCCAGCTGCAAGGGGGAGAATGACGCTCAGAATGTGCATGTCCAACAAACCCAGAGCTGTCATTGGGGTTAGGGTTATATGAGGCCTATTTTTGAAGTATGGCTTAAATATGCACTGGGTCTAAAGGAACTCAAGAAGATATCAAAAGAATTTAATATCCTCTGACTGTCTTGTCTGTCAGCTTTCTCAGTGACTTGGAGGGAGGGGTGAGGGAGAATGATGGATGGTAGAAGAAGTAGAGCAGTGAATGGAATCCTGGAGTCAAGTGATTCTATATATTTATATATATAGTGAGGTCCCAATTTTGCTACTTACTGGTGTGTGAATAGTCATCTCCCTTATTTGAGACTCAGTTTCTTAATTTGCAAAGTGAGGATAATAATTTACACCATTACATTACCTAATGTATTTAAGAATATCTTGTGGGCTATAAAAGTCTACACACATATAAGGAATATGTCTTCGCTCAACCTCTTATGTCCTCTGAGCTTAGGATGGCGGAGGGTGGTATCTCTAGGAAAAAAGCATCAGAAAACATGCACAGGGCCGGCTCAGTCAGCCCGCCCAGTGATATGTGCATGTTCTCTACAAGTCTGGATTAGAAATGAGGACTTTCCCAGCTCATAGACCCAAACAGAAATGAGTATTGAAGGACTCCATGTATTAATCAGACTGTCCTCAGAGTGCTACTTCTGAAACACAGATCTGATCCTACCATTTCTCTGTTTAAAACCTTTCAGTGTTTCATCCTGACCCCAGAATAATGCCCAGTCTCTATTAATATGGCATGCAAAGCCGTGTGTAATCCAGCCTCTCTCACTTCATTTCCATTCGATTGGCCAGCAAAACTTCTCTTCTTATACACATCGTGATCTTTTGGAATCTGTGGACATTTCTTTTTCCTCTTCCCTCTTCCTAGATTGTTTCTCACATTCTACTTCTACCTCTGTCCCAACAGTCCCTCCTGCTTTTCAGTCTCCTGTTCATTTTTTTTTTTTTAAGATTTTTATTGGGGAACTAGGGGAAGGGAAACAGACAAGAAACTGTCTTTTTGTTCTTCAGTCTAGTTGTGGAGGACGTTGCTTCACTGGCCCAAATTGGCACCATCATTGCGCTCTTCCCCGGGTGAGGCAGATCAGTCGCTGGCTTCTGGGCGGCCGCTCACAGTGGCTTGAGGGCCCCTCACGCTGGCTGCTGGCTACACATGGTAGCCCATGGCAACCCACTGCCGCAGGGGCTGCAGCCTACACCATTGCCGGCAACTCATGGCAACCCAGCTTCAGGTTGAACCGTTGTTCAGCATCTTAGCTGTGGAGGACAGTGTCACTGGCCCTCATATGTGGGATCCGAACCGGGGCCCTCTGGCATCCCAAGCCAGCTCTTAACCAACGCGCCACTCGGCTGGCCCTCGTGTTCATTCTTCTAGACTCCACTGAAGCCCCCTCCTGTGTAAAACCTCCCTCAACTTCTCATCCAGTTATTCACATCTTTCTCCATGCACTTTTTTCATCCCTCCCTTATAACACTTCTCAGATTGTATTGTGATGTTTATCTCTCTTCTCTACTGACTGTGTGCTTACTGAGAACGTATCTTATTTATTTCTGAATTATCAGCCTGTTTTCTAATCCTAGACTATATGAAGTACCCGTAAGTATTTGTTGAATGAATGAATATAAATAAATATTGATCTTCTTTGTTTCGTGACCAAACAAGAATGAGAATTAAAATACGATTCATGGCAAATGTGGGAAGGACTGTTGCAGCCGCCTCTCTCCTTGCCAGCTCCCACCAGCAAATTAGATTCATGGTCCTTGGTTATTAATAGGGCCCGAATCATCCTCAAGTCCTTGCTCATTAAAAGCATAGCACGGCCAGCCGTGACCTTCAACTCAGAGAAGCAGTTTAAGGGCTCCAGGGTCATTCAGGTTTCTTAACTGGACCTGGAGGTCAGAGACACAGCCTGAGGTACAGGAGAATGCCATACACAACAAATGTCTTCTCAGGGGCTTGCTATGGCCGATTGGTGATGTGCTCAGCTTAAAGCATGCTCTCTCTTTTTAAAGGCAGTAACTCAGAAGTAGTACCACAGAAAGCTGTCCTCGGTATTTTTAGTCACCTCTAGGTGAAGGGGCCTGAGGTTTCTGTCTTAGAGCCAGGAGGTGGGAGCCTAAGCCAAAATAAGTCCAACTTGAACAAAGAGAGCCAGGGGGGATTTCCTGGGACCCCAGGAAGGAAGCAGCGGTAGGGTGTGTCTTGCTAAACTATGTAGCTTTGAACAATATGAGAGCAGTGAGCATCTGGAGGTGGGTGGAGGGCTGCCAAGGGGAGAAAAAGAAAGATGAAGTGTCAGGGAGTAGGATGGTGGGGGAAGGAAAAGATGCAGTGGAAACAGCTAGTCTGATAAGCAAAAGATCTGGACTGTAGTCCTGCTTCTGGTGCCAATTTGCTTCATATCTCTAGGCAAGCCCCTCGCTCTTACAGAGCTCTAGTCTCCCAGCCACAAAATGAGAGGCACCCTCCAATCATCTGAGAAACATTTTAACTTCCATATGCCAGACTGCACCCCGACCTACTGAACTTGCATTTGTAAGAATCATACAGAAACATCTATACTGAAGGAAAGCCCCTGAGATGATTCTGATGCTGCTCTTTATTCAGAACCCCTGGATTAACGGGAGCCAACATTCTTTCCTGCCCCGACATCCTGAGAAGCACTGTGGCTCTAACAAACGTTATCTTCCTTCTGTTTCGACCCAAGCCTCGCTCTGGTGCCTAGCAGGCAGACCGACTCAACTTTGCCACACTTTTTACTGGCTGGAGGAGGGTCTCTGGAGGCAAAAGCCTGAAGAGAGCCAAAGAGGTGGAGACAGTCGCCTTCCTGGTATCTGGCAGTCACTCTCAGTTCCTGAGAGTGAACAGTAGAGGGCGCCAGGCTCCCTTTCCCCCACGGAGGACCAGCGTGTAAACAGAAGAGGAAAATGGAACTTCAGGACGGAAAAATACCTAAGAGAGCTTCCAGTCCAATCCCTTCACTTTACACAGGAAGAGACGGGCTGGGAGAGGGGAAGTGGCTCATCAGGTCTAGATTCAAGTGGCCTGAGGGTCCTTCTGCAATTTCAGAATTGACCTACCTTCTGTTTCAGTCATGTTCAAATCATGCCACCTCTTACTCTGTTGTTTGCTCTCAAGTTTGCTTCATAAATTTTATCACAGAACATGATAAAAATAAATAAACTTGTGTCCTGGAAGCCAGGATTCCCAGGATCCTTTTCTAGGAAGAGGCCTATCTTCAATTTGACCTCTTCTTCCTTTGATGCTTCCATACATTTTACCTGTTCATCAGCATGCATCTTGCTGCAGCAAGAAATGCTAAGAATATGCTGGAAATAGACTGTCTGAGAAGACTAAGTCAAATGGAATCATAATTTAACCTGGGTGAGAAAATACAAAGGGAGACGTACCTTCTGATACACGAAGGCACATTTACATGGAGCTAGGAGCCACAGTTCCCTGAGTCCATTGAAAGCAGAACAAGCACAGTGTATGAAAACACTCTAAGTTCGCCCTCAAATTTCTGGCCTTGATTGTAACAGAAATGTTTGAGTCAGATTGGTGAAAGGACTCCCCGCCCTAACAAGGAACTATCTGTGGGAAATCTGAAGATCTTAAAATAAAAATTCAAAAGCTATCAACATTTCCCCTTCTCTCAATTGAGATGAGGTTATGTAATAAGAGATGCCACAAATGGGGAAGGGGAGCCTTTCAGGTTGAGGAAGCCAGGTTTAGTGTACTTCATAGTGAGGTGGGGTTTTTTCCATGTTTCTTTCTCCTAGGTTGTTTCACATAACTGGAAGTTATCCTGCTTTAGTGGTCAACTCAAAGCAGACATCTGTATTTTCTTTCTTTCTTTCTTTTTTTTTAACACCCTGAATCCCTTCTGTTTGGGTTCTCTTGAATATTTTCCTGGTTCCATTCTCTTGTTCATGCTAGTTACTCTCTTCCCTAATTTTATAACACTTACCCCCCTACACACCTCTCTTGATCACTTATGTTTGTGTTCTATTCCCTATCCTTATTCCGTTTTTACCACTTAGCTTTGCTCTCTGGTGGATATTGATGGTTCTGTTTCCCCTTTCCCTTATGTCATAAGCATTTTAGGCTATATACATGTTCACTGCTAAATATGTAGGACCATGCTGATGGTTATGTGAACAGTAGATCAAGGTCATGACTAACTCAATAATACGTGTGGATATAGACACGCATGTGAATAGGGATTGCTTGTGTGATTATTAAGGAGGAAGATAAAAGACAAAACTGTCAAACTTTGGTGGAGAGCAGTTGTTCTCAAAGTGTGGTCCCAGCAGCAGCAGCACCTCCTAACAATTTGCTAACCATGCAAACTCCCAGCCTCCACCTATGGAATCAGAAAGGCTATGTTTTAAAAAGACATGCATGGGGTTTTGAGGCTTGCTGAAGTTTCAGCACCACTGATTTAGAGGTATGTATGACTTGCAGAGCAATAGATTTCTCTGAGCCCACTGAGTCAGGGCTTCAACACAGGCCAGAAAAGAAAGTGTAGCTGATTTGGCACTGTAGGCTTCACGGAGGCTGTCCTCCTTCTTTAGGGATGAGAGTAGAGGGACCAGGAAGGAGTCATTCTATTATCATCTTCAAGCCTTTCTGCTTTAAGCAAAGGCATAGAGAGGCAAGCTGGTTGGGCAGTTTACAAGAAGCTGACCACTAAAGGAAGACAAATCAACGGTGACATTTTTAGCTATCACCACTCCAAAATACATGGGGTTTTGCACTCTACAATCGTCTCACTTGTGTGGAAACACACTGTTCTCCCTCCCCCAAGCGCGAGGCACCCTAGAGACCCTGTGCCCCAATCTCACCCTCCTCGGTGACTCGGAGGGGGATTAGCCGTGTGGTCTTCACAAAGGGGCGATGTGCCTCAAACTCAAACTCCCGGGACACATTGCAGGTATAGAGGCCGGAGTCATTCAGGGTGACGTTGAGCACAGTGATGGACACATCCTGCAAGTCCTTGCTTCCATTCCACTGCAGGCGTCCCTGGAAGGGGCTCTCCACCTCTTGGTGACCATTCCGATACTCATAGATCTGCAGGTAGAGAAGCAGAGGGTAGGGCCACAGAGGAGATAGGGCAGGAGAGCTGAGATAAGGAAAAGGCAGAGAAAGGAATAGAGCTGTGTAAGCACAGGGAGGAAAGGGGACAACGTTACAGGAGCTCCAGAATGGGGGGTGGGGGGTGGGATGAGGAGTCTCAGAGGAAGGAGTGGGGAGAGCAAAGACAGGGAAAGACGGGCAACAGCAAACAGGTATCAGGACGTACAGACACAGCAAGGAAAGAGAGCAAAAGAAGGTGAGTGAAGCATACAACAGACCAGGAGGGAGAAATTGAGAGAAAGAAAGGAACTAGAAAGAATAAGAGAAAGTGTAAGATATGTCATGGGGGCAGCCAGTGAGAAAACAAGGTGTAGAGACCAACAGAGGCAGTTTCGTCAGTCATGAAGACATCAGAAAGCCCTGGCCTCAAACTTGACACTCTGAGCTGATCCACACTGAAAGATGTGGGCAGTCTGGGCCAGGCCACAGGAGGGGGATCCAGGATGCTAAAATGTCACAGATGAGCAGACGGCTACCAACTGATATGCACACATTAGGTCTTTTGCTTTGGGCTGTATTATAATGGCAATCTGGTCTCTCAAATTCTTTTCTCAAACACTTCCACCTTCTGACACACCTATTTTTTTCTGTGCTTGTGGCTATTTACATTAACAGGTGAATTACTAGAAATTAAATAAAGTTTAAAATTCAGTTACCTAGTCACACTAGCCACATTTCAAGTGCTTACTAGCCACATGTGGCTCGTGATTACTGTACTGGATAAAAGGAATATGGAATATTTTCATCTTCACAAAATTTCTATTAGCATTACTCTGTACATCCAGCACAAGTTTTAAAGTGTCTTTTCCCCCTTCTGAGCCTCCTTCTCCTCACTTTGGGCACGCCTGGAAGCAGATTAGGCAGCTGACACATAACCAGGTCTGAGTCCCATGGGGGTCTTTGCATCTTGCCAAGACATCAAGGCTCCTGAAATCTGGGGACTGGCCCCAGTCATGGCCAGCCCTGAGCCAAGCATTGGGAAGTCTAGGGGTCCCACTCCTGGCACCTGATGGGAGCAAACCTACATCAAATGGTACATATAGCCTAGAGTTAGAAATCAGTTCAACTTTAGGAAAGTTAGACAAAAAAGCAAGTGAATCTCAATTTCACCCTGCTGTTGTCTCCATTAAAAGTCCTGTGTTGGAGACACTTGACTCCAGGAATGTGAGCGCGGTCATGCAGTAAAACGGGCTTTGTATCTGCTGCCAGACAACCTGGTTCAAATCTAAGCTCTCTTACTACCTTAACTTCTTAGAGCCCCAATTGCCTCTCTAGCAAACACTTACATAATCCTTCCTATATCTTAGAACTATTCTAAATAGATTAAAAATCAAAGCTCACGATTCTTGCTAACAACTCTATGATGTAGCTATGGTTTACATCCCCATTTTAGAGATGAGTAAACTGAGTCAGAGAGAGGCTAAGAAAGTTGTCTAAGGACATACAGAGCTAATAAGTTGTGGAGTTAAGAATCAAACCCAGGCATCTTGTCTCCAGAGACAGGGAAAGTACAAATAATGGCAATCCCCAAGGTAGTATTCAAAGTACATAACAACAATTTTGGCACTGGCACCAATCAATCAGAACTCACATTGGCCATGGCACAGGGGCAGAGTCTTGGAGGCTCCCTGCTCTGTCAGGCACCAATCCTTTAGTTTCTTGATCATGGGGAGGGTTGTGGGTTTCCAGTGGGGAGGATGGTGGTGGGGCCACTTGGGAGGTTTGGCACAGCAAGTATCCATTATACAACTGTTTAAATATTTTACCCACTGATATGGCTATACTTGGTATACCAGTTGAATATCAGCCTTAGTCATGCCTATCATTCTTATTTCACTGGGATTGTGAGAGTTAAATGAGCTAACCTATGCTATGTTATATATTGATGCGTAGTGTGATTTCAATTTTTCTACTAATTTAATCCATCCTCTAGGATGGTTTGGAGGTTAAATGAAAGCCCTTGCAAAGTGCCAACTCAGGTGGCTAGCACACAGTAGGCTTTAAATACTATTTCTTTCTCTGCCTTCCCCTGCTTGTAGCCAGGAATGTTTGCAGCTGGCTAAGTGCCCTTCCTTTCACAGAGGGTGGGATAAACTAAGGCTGTCAGTTATCTGCTGAGTTGCTGTCGGTGCTTTGAAGAGAAAGAGCCACTGCTTGTCAGATCATCATTCTCCAGACTCTCAGGAGCCAGGCACACAACACAGAGGCCAGCAGAAAAAAAAAAAAAAAGAGGCCAGAGTCAGCAGTCAGACGTACAAGGAAATCTTTACCGCCCTCGGGCCTGTAGAACCACTCCACCACGGTGGAGGCCTCCACCTCCTCCCTCTTCATGCAGGAGATGCAGCGCAGTTTCATAGGGTTGCCCTGAACGGCCTCTGTCTCCGAGGGCACTTCCACACACACAGGGAAGCAGACCCTAACTGGAGAGAGGCCGGGTGACAGGGAGGGAGCAGAAGGTGTTGGGGAGGGGTACCAGGAGAGAGGCATTGGAGGACAAGGAGAAAAAGAGAAGAGACAGAGAAGGAAAGATCATGAGACAAATTTTAAAACAGCATGTACGTGTATATATACCTTCACCTGCGCTCCCCAAGTATACATGCTCACAGCAGGCAAGCAGCGGGGCCTAAGAGGCATGGGTGACCCCGAAGTGACTGAGCGCCATCACTGAAGCAGTGAGGATGTGATACAGCACATACCTGAGCCCTTCCCAAAAGACGTCGAGTCTAGGTGGGAGACAGGGCATGCATGCACCCATCCATTGACCATCCATGCACCCTTTCATTCAACCATCATCACCAAAATCCACTCTGTGCCAGGCCTGATGCTAGGCTGAGATAAAAAGGTGAAACAAAATATTAACCATGCCCTAAAGACATGTATAATCTAGCAGGGAACACATACTCCTAAGTGTCGTGAAACCAGTCCACAGTGAGTGACATACTAATGACTGCTCTGTTCCTAGAGGAGAGGCAATTATTTCTGGTTGGGTTGGGGAAAGAGGACGAGAAGGATGGCGAAGGCTTGAGGTAGAAAGGTGGAGAGGACCCATGGTGTGAAGACCTCTGTGTGTCCTTCACACTATGAAAGGTCAAATGTTTTAAAGCCATGGAGAGATGTAATTATACATGTGTTTTAAGAAAAATGTAGGTAATTCTGATGCATGGTTGCAGAGGGGGCAGCAGTGAGGAAAACGGTGAACTGACCATTAGGCTGGAGCAGTGCTTTACACAGAGAAGTAGACAGAAACAATTTTAAAAATCTTGGGAGAAGTCAAACTGGGGACACCTTGCATAGCACACAGAAGTCTACACTTCTACTTCCTGCCCTCTAGAAACTCATGGCCCATTTAAAGGCAAGTACATCAAACTGCAAATTCAGAATGGGTCAAAAGGGAGACATGGCTGCCAACAAAGCGAGTGCAAATGTGGGCCTCATGCACAGATGTCCAATGTGCAGAATGAGGGAGAAACAGTTCCTCTGCACTGTTCAGAGTAAATATAGACCATTATGATCAGTTCAGGGTGTCAAATTTTACAAAAGGAAGTTGTTCAGTGAGTGCATGCCCAGAGGGGAGCAAGATGGAGAAGGTCTGGGGTCAAAGTCTGGTGAGAAACAAATGGGGGGACTAGGGGTGCTTAGCTTGGACACAGAACTTATCTGCCTTCGAATATTTGAAGGCTGGCCTGTGGAAGAGAAAATAGATTCTGTCCAAAAGTTACAAAAAGTTAAGTTTAGCTCAATTAAGAAAAAAAGAATCTTCTGGTGCTGAAGCTGTTCAAATATGCAAAAAACTATCTGGTAAGAGAGTTTACACTCCATTTCATGGTAGATTCAAAAGTGAGGTGACCACCAAGGATTCATGTATCAGGACCCATTTTCAGAATATGATGAGTTAGAAGTCTTGTTTATAGGCCTGGTTTTAAAAAAAAGAAAGAAAGAAAAAAGGAGGCGTGGTCTGTGCCAAAGTTTGGGAGCAGATAGAGATGTAGAGAGTGTGTACTCATATTTAATGAGATGTGGTAAAGAGGAATTGGTTCAATTACGATGACTTCAAAAGCCCAAGAGGAAAATTTACCAAGGGATGTACAGTGAAAACTATAGAGGCAGGACGAAGATGGTATTTGGCAATTAAAGGCCTGGGCTTGATATACTATTTGCCCTCTCTGAGACTCATTTATTCGTTAATAAAAAGCTGAAAATGATATCTATCTAATAGATTGTTATGAAAATTCTATGGAATAATTTATAGAAATATCACTTGTTAATGTTATTTTAAAATAACAACGAATTTGTTCGCTACTCAGCATATATACTGAGTGCTTACTGTGTGCCAGGTACTGAGGATACAACGGAACAACACAGAAACCATCCCTGTTCTCACTGATCCCATATTCCAGTGGAGGGAAAGATAAAATACGCAACATTAAATTGTAACGAGTGCTATGAGGAAAAAGAAACAAAAACAAAGTAAAGGAGATAGAGAGTGCAGGGGATTGTCAGATACACCCTCACTGAGAAGGGGACAGTCAGCAAGCACTGAAGAACAGAAATGAGGGAGCAAGTTATATGAATACCTGTGTGAGGGTGTGCCAAACAGAGGAAAGAACAACTGAAGGGTCCTAGTGTGGGAGTGTGTCTATTGAGAGCAAAGAGCACAGAAAGTATGGGGAGCAAAGTGAGGATAAAAGGAGACAAAGTAGGAGACAGAAGCCAGGGCTGTATCACGGCTGTTCTTGTAGGCCATGATTAGAACTTCGGTGTTTGCTTCGAGTGACATGGGAAGCACTGGAGGGTTCTGAGTGGAAGGATGACATGACCTGATTCATATAAAATTACATGGTCTAACTGTTATGTTGAGAATAAACTCAACATGAGGAGATGAGGAAGGACAAGCAAAAAGAACAGTTAAGAGGATGGTATAAGTCAAGGGAATTGTAATAGATATGTATGATATTGAGGGGGGGGAGTGGGGCAGTGGATTGGGGGAGGGGAGTTGTCACTTAGTGAGAGGTAAAAAATAAAACTATCGCACTGTTTTGTACACCTGAAACTAGTAAAAAAAAAAAAAAAAGAGGATGGTATAGTGATCAGACTGAGAGGTGTTCAGTGGCTTTGCTTGGATGAAGGCAGGAATGGAGCTGTTGGGGTTTGAAAAGGAATAATTTGCTGGATTAACACCCTTGAATAGGTGAGAGGTGATGTGCTCTAGTGAACAAGAAGGTGAGTTGGTCTTTAACAGGAGCACAGTTAGTTCATTTATAGTTAAAGGAGGGAGGGCAGAATATGTGGAGTCAGGATGGTGAATGTATTAATAGCATGACAGCCTCTCTTTTTCCTGAATTGCCCCTGAGATAATAATAATCCAAGGTATCATCAGAGAGCAAGCCCCACGGGTCCCCTTCTCTTGGCCAAAGTCCAGTTTCAAGGCATAGGAACTCTGCTCATGAGGTCCTGGGTAGTATATTGCAAAATGGCCTCAAAGTCCTCTCACCCTGTTTGCTTGAGAGGTGAAGTCTGTTTCTCTACCCCATGAGTCTCCCGTACATTACTGCCTCTCCTTCTATGAATTCCGCTACATAACCAAGAAAAGGCGATACATATGGTAGGTGTTCAACCCATATTGCTGACTATAAATAATAAACTGGAATAATCTTGAGCAAATCATTGGACCTTTGGTCTCCTCTTCAATTTCCATAGTAATAATGAGGAAACTTTTGAGAATGAGGAATATGATATATTACTGATGATTATGTTTAACTAAGAAATAGCATCAATCTATTACGAGGTGGATAGTAATGTATGTTGAACTAACTCCTCTAATAACCCCCAATTTTTCACTTCTTTGGGCGTTGCTATATTGCCCCTCATGAACTTGCTCTAGAACAGGCATCGACAAACTTTTTTTTTTTTTTTAAGATTTTTATTGGGGAATTGGGGGGATAGGAACAGTGCTGGGGAATTGGGGGAAAGGGAATAGACAAGTTGCTGTCGTTTTGTTCCTCAGTCTAGTTGTTGAGGACGTTGCTTCACTGGCCCAAGTTGGCACCATCATTGCGCTCTTCCCAGGGGAGGCAGATCGGTCGCCGGCTTCTGGACGACCGCTCACTGCAGCTGCTGGCCGCTCACGCTGGCTGCTGGCTACACACAGTAGCCCATGGCAACCCACTGACACAGGGGCTGCAGCCTACACTGTCGCTGCACTCCAGGTTGAGCTGTTGATCAGCATCTTAGCTGTGGAGGGCAGTGTCACTGGCCCTCATATGTGGGATCCGAACCGGGGCCCTCTGGCGTCTCAAGCCAGTTCTTAACAATCGCGCCACTCGGCCGGCCCCAACAAACTTTTGAGACAGGAGAGCTGCCAGGGGTCAGCAAATTATGGCTCACGAGCCACATGCGGCTCTTTGGGTACGTACATGTAGCTCTGAAGTAATATTGAAAATGAAAATAAAACTATCATAGTTCCATTTATAAAATTTTTAAAGGATATTATTCACATAATGGTGATTATGTAAAAATATATTTATGGCTCTCGAATAATTTTTAAATTGTTGTGAGGGACAGGATTGGCTCTTCCAGGGGTCGACAAGCTTTTGAGACGGAATGTACCCAAAGAGCTGCATGTGGCTCGCGAGCCGCAGTTTGCCGACCCCTGCTCTAGAATGTTCTCCTTTGCACTAAGATAATAAAGGCTTTGATTAGAATGTAAATACTTTCCCAAAGGGGTAATAAACGAAGTTATTTGGAGATGTTAACATCTTGTAATGACTGTCATATTAGCCGGTCAGTTAGCGGAACCTTGAAAGAATAGGATGCCAGATGGGCCACTGGAGGAAGAGAGGAAAACATTCGCCAACAGCAGACCTCTGGGAGAGTAGACATGGAAAGGAAGACTAAAGAAGGCACCAAGACCTGAAGGATGATGAGACCCTAGAAAAGGCAATGGCATGAGGAAGGGGAGCAAGCGTGCTCAGAAAAGAGATGAGAGGATAGATGTCCACCTGGCAATCCTACATAGCAGCACATGTGTTCCTAAGAAGTCCTAGAACAAGCAGTGAAAGACTCAAATCAGGAGATGAGAATTCTCTAGCAAGTCATTTCCCCTCCCTGAGTTCATGTTCCCCTCTCTAACGAGAAATAATACTACGTCTCCTGACTACCTCGTAGGATTGATATGGAGACCAAGAAAGTAATGGATTGAAAATTGCTTTGTAAACTATAAAGCACCAGTCAAGCGTAGGGATTATTGTTATTATTATTATTTGCATAATTAAAGGAAATAAGGGAAGTTTTTCAATATACACAAAATATCTTTGGAAAAGATTCTTTGTATTCATATTTGCATCAAGTGAAAAATCAACTTGGGAAGGGAGAGTGTATCTAAGCTAAGTGCTTTCCAATACTGAAATTACATGCAAATAAAATGAAATTGAATTTGCGAAGCGAGGCCCTTTCTCTTACATTTTAATGACCAGGTTTCCTGAGCCCCCCTCTTTCCCTTCTGCATCTTTCCAGTTTTGTGAACCAGTGTTCAGGTTACGAATAAGCTGAATGTGCAAGGATGGGTGAAATGTGTAATTTGAAATTTCTTCAAAAGGCTTTTTTGGGGGCAGTCGGGGGAAGACAGGCACTCTGCCAATTTTATCAATATTCTGTAACTATTTCCCTACCATTCAGTGGTGGAGCTGAAAGGGATATTAGCTATCATCTGCACCAACTTCCAAACTTTACATATGAGAAACCAGATACTCTAAAGGTTGTTATGTAGCAAGCTAGTGGCAGAGCTAAAACTCCAATCTAAGCTTTGTAAGACCTAGTCCAATGTCCTTGGTCTATAGTATGCTTTACCCAACCACTGGAATTCAGGCAGGAACCCTAAAAATTTAGATTAGGGTTTGGAAAGAAAGGCTTTACAAAATCTCACTCAACCCATCTCTACCACTTTGTCTCCCATGCTTTACCCACATTCTTTCTTATCCAGCCAGGCTAGTCTTAGCTTTCCTTCATGTACCTAGTCTTAGTCTCCCCTGAGAAAATCGCAGCCTTAAATCTTCAAGGAAGGGCTGGCCGAGTGGCGCATTGGTTAAGAGCTGGCTTGGGACGCCAGAGGGCCCTGGTTCGGATCCCACATATGTGGGCCAGTGACACT